TCAATGAAGTGGTTGAGAGTCATGAGGTCTTAGGTTCAAATTCTAGCGGTGAAGAAAACACTAGGTGATTCTTCCCATATGTCCTAGCATCAGTGGACAGAGTTACCTAGTAACTGTTGCAAGTGGGTAGCAAGTATCCTATGGAATTAGTCGAGGTGAGCGAAAACACTAGGTGATTCTTCCCATGTGTCCTAGCATCAGTGGACAGAGTTACCTCGTAACTGCTGCAAGTGGGAGGTAGCAAGTATCCTATGGAATTAGTCGAGGTGTGCGAAAGCTAGCCTGGACACCATGGTCATAAAAAAAAGGGTTGAACATTAACCCATTGGAAAACAATGCCCCACATCAAACAATTGAGGAAAACTCAATATGGACCCTATTATCTGTTGCTTCTAGCTAACCAGCTATGCGTCACTAGTCCTACACTCTTTTTGCCCCAAAACAGGCAAAATAGCAACTTCACAACCTAAAGATTGTGGGAGGCAAAGAAAAAAAAAAGTAACACTCTAAGCACCAGAAGCAGTGAAAGTTCAACAAAATCCATACAATCTCATACTTGTTGGGGTGATTCTATCCCATTCATGATTCCTTTCAGTATGACAGTATAAGCACCACAACCATTGAAACCTTTGGGATATATGAACCACTGTTCAACACAATCCATACAATCTCATACTTGGAATCACTACTGAAGGTTTCTCATGAAAGGTCTCGCGTGAAGGGAAAAGAACTTCATTAGAATTAAGTCTCAGTGAATGCCAAAATCTATTAGTTGATCTCCATGGGAAGGAATTTTCACATGAGACACTCACTGATAGTTAGTTAAGACCCAATTTCCAGGTCCTTGACTAAAAGCAAGGGTAATGGATTGCAGTACAATGGCATTCAGGTATAGTATATTAGTATCAACAGTTTTTGGTCTAGCTTTAGGGTTTTTATGGTCCTTACGAATTATGAAGAGTGCAACTTGCAGGAAGCTTATATATGATGGGAGGAAGTGCTGCTGGTTGTTTACGGTTAGTTAAGTTGAATATCGGAATATACCATTAAGCACATGTCGAATGGGATAATATTCAGCAAGTTACAGGCTATAAGGCAGAGGACGCATGATTTTGGGATCAAGGCAACAGATTTTACTTGCAAAATAAAAAGTGACAACAATATAAGCAACACAACCAATGAACAATCCTTGTATGCACACAACCTACACACTTGGACTCACTACTGAAAGTTCCTCATGATTACGGTTAGTTAAGTTGAATAGCGTCATATACCGTTAAGCACATATCAAATGGAATAATATTCAGCACGTTATAGGCTATAAGGCAGAGGATGCATGATTTTGGGATCAAAGGAATATATTTTAGTTGCAAAAAGAAAAAGTGACAACAGTATACGCTACACAACCAATGAACAGTCCTCGTTCAACAAAATGCATACAATCTACACACTTGGACTCACTACTGAAAGTTCCTCATAATTAAGGTTTTGCGAGAGGGGAAGAAAACTTCATTAGCATTCAGTCTTAACAAACACCACCAAGGACTTTTAGTTGATTCCTGTTAGAAGATTTTCACATGAGACATTAACTGGTAAGAAAGTGAAAAATTACTTATGGTTTAATTTTGATGAAAATGTGTTACTTGAGGAATAACTGATAAAAGGTCAGAACTGCACAGTCAAAATTCATAAAAGTCAAGTCTTAAGCAGGACTTGAAGTAACCATGAGTTACATGGTAGTAGTTTCAGATGACTCGCAATCCACATTGAGACCCATTTTTCAAATCCTTGACAAAACCAAGGTTACAATGTGCATTCAGATTTAGTAGTATCAACAGATTTAATCCTCACTCCAATCCAAATATGATGAAGCCTAAAATGAAAAACAAATAGAAAATCACTTAGCACAGTTCATACTGTTATCTCCATCAGATATCATCTTATCAAGCCGTGAAATAGCTGCCACAAGTGCTTGTTCATGATCCTGAATAATGTAAAACAGTTAAAACTTTCTTGTGATATTAATGAGTGAGCAGGACACAATCACCACAAAGATTGGTGCCACTAACCTTCAGCACTTCCTTTGCCTTCTCAACCTCCACAGGGTCTGGATGAGAGGCACCAAAGATCCTCTTCTCCACCTAACCACACTCACGAGTCAATGAACAGTTGCAGAAAGGTAATATCTTTGTGTATAGCATGAAACTATTGTTACCTCGTTAATCAACATATCAGTGTGAAGTAACACAATAACATCATCTCCCTTCTTTCCTATGCCATAATGTGATGATGGAAAATCTGTTTTAGACTGAGGCATAGTCAAACCTAGGCCTCTAACTGCAACTGGATCACTATCACGTCCACGCCCTGACTGACCGTTATTTCCATGATGAGAAATTCCAGGATCTTCACCCTCCCACCGGATATCCTCTGGAGGGATCTATCAAAGAATTCAAATAAGTTAAAACCTTAAAGAAGCTCTTCAAAATAAACTAAAGCATGATGGAAGACAAAACTGACTACACATGCCAGAATTAAGAACAATAAATAAATGATAAATAGGAGCTAATACAGAGTTGACTATCAGGCGATTCCTAGATTTTAAGCAATAATTTGGAGCATGAGGCATGTTTCAGAAACCTATCAGTGACTGTCCAAGACCTCCAGATGAACATCATGCTAACAGCAGTCACATTACAAGCCAATGATACATAGCATGAACTAACTTGAAAGATCAAATGGCAATGTTTCTTCACACTACACCTAATAAACAAATAGGAAATGGATTTGCCAATAAACATGCCAGGGTTATTCAATTCTGATAAATTTTATTGCTTAATGGGGTGAAGTAAATGAAACGAGGTGATCTGGCGAGCATCAATGACTTATTTTGATATGATTAATGATGGGAAGACGAGAAAAAGATGAAAAAGAGACCATTTGCTATTTGTGTACTAGGATTCTTTACATATGCTTTCTTTCTTTATTTGCTAGGACTCATTAAAAATGTTGATGGGTGTGTGTCACTGCGTTTTTGGAGGATTTGACACAGGTGCAGCAATGATCCAACTCAACATACTTTTTTTTGATAACTGTGGTTGTCCGGGCCAGATTTTGTGCACCTCGGACTTATTCCACGGGATACCTACCTCCTCCCACTAGCAATAGGTACTAGCAAACTCTGTCCACCAAGACGACTAATTCCAGATGGAAAGAATCACCTAGTGTTTTTTGTGTCCGCTGAGTTTTGATACTAGACCTCAGGGTTCTTAACCACTTCCTTGACTACTGGGCCACACCCCTCGGTGCATTTGTGTTTTGTAATTTTTTTTTTTTTCAAGAAAGATTAAAAAAAAAATTATATCAGGCTGTTTCATTTGTTATGTCGAAAATAACAAGCTTTAACATAACATGAAAATACCATTATCATTGTAAAATCAAGAACTTATTAACAGTTTAACACTAAGAAACACTGTTAATATGAGAAACACAAACTTATTGAAAGTATTCCTACTAATAAAATATGTTGTTGGTTCATCCTGTAGGTGGAGCAGGGGCGGCTCAACGTAGTTGGGGCCTAAAGCGAAATTTCAATTCGAGGCCTAAAATATAAACAAACTTCGTATACACATTTATTAAAATTTTATTTTTATAAGTAATAAGTTTGACAAATATTGAATAAAGATAAGAGTTAGAACCATAGAATCTCATGAAGTTGATGACTTGTTATACCCCATTTTAATATGCTTGTTGTAATGCTTGAAGCTAAAATTTTAAAACAAATAAAAAAAAATTTGTAATTCATTTTTTCAACACTTTTCATTATTAATTCTTATTTTTAACAAAGTACAAAAGATGTTGAAGTGGGTAAAATAATATATTTTTAGAATATTATACTTTTAATCATAAATAATCAATTTTTTCTATAAAATTTTTAACACTGGATAAAAATTTGGGGGCCTAAGGCATAAGCCTTGTTTTACAAAACATAGAGCCGCCCCTGAGGTGGAAAAGATATCATCAATAGCAAATACTAGATGTTGAAACCAGTCATTTTAATCACAATTTGATATTGGTAAAACAGAAATTGTATTTTTGGCATTTCGCATAAAATGTATGATTCATCTTGACTGGCTTTGCAGCTTTCTCTGTGTTTTTTTTTCATTTTAGAAACAACTATGAATGCGAAAAAGTAAAGAAAACTGTTTTGGAGCATGGAGAAAATAGCATCAACTTACCTCTTTAAGGTTGACCCATTCCGACGTCTCATTTGCACTGCCCCTATCATAAACAAGAACATGTTTACCCTGCCAATGTGCATCTAGAGACTTCAGAAACCAACCACAGGAAATTATATATAATTAGTAATCTACAATCAAGAAACCATGCACACCTCAGCTGCATTACAATCAGCTATGACTGCTTCATAAAAATTATTGTCATCAGGCCGTCTAGTTCTCACTTTCCTTCCAATCAGTGGATCAAATGATACTGGCTCGGCAGGTTCAGAAACCTGGTTGCTGGATTGGCCTCTTCCAGATGGACCCAAGGAAGGATACTGCATTTCTGTTGAAGACACACCAGGCATAGTCTGGTCCTGTGAAGTTTAAAGAAAAATACTCAAAATCAGAGAATCATTCAAGAAGTGTCTGGTAATCTTGCATATCTTTTAGCAATATCTGACTTACAGATTTATGTTTTTTTTACCTTGGGATCTCTATTGGCAGTGGATGTAGATGGATGGTTTTCCGCAGTCGCAGCTGGTGGACGAAAAGTAGGAGATGGTCCAGAAAAGGAGTGAGAAGGTAAATATGGGGCTATGATTTGATTCCTACATGAAGCTGAGACAGAAGAACTGGGTATTTGATCATGAACAGCTTGACCAGTACCACGCATACCAGATATCCTCCACTCCCTAAAAACAGTAGTCAAAGTTACTCTTGACTGCAGAACAAACCACAGAAAAATCCAAGAGGTACAAGAGTTAGCTACAAAGCTAACCTTATTCTTCGGACAACATCATCTTCATTGACTCTACCAAGAAATTCTCGATGGTGTTCACTGGACAATCTTAACTCTTTTCTTAATTCAGATATGAGACTTTCCTTCTCCTGAAGAAAACACATTCATTTAGCAACCATGTAAGGCTGATCAAACAAAATCAAATATTAGATTCAGTAACATATTCTAAAAAACAGTACCCAAGTAATGGCATCAGCCTGAGCTTTAAAGGCTCTTAGAACTGAACTGTATGCTTCTTGCTCAAGTTGTTGAATTTCCACCTCCATGTCAGTTTCATCATACATCATAGCAGCTCTGTCATTTCCAGTACCAAAGCCACCACCTCTTGGTATCCTAGTCCGATCTGACAGAGGAAGATCCTCATCGGTTCCTGCAATAGTTGGCAGGTATACAGATTAAAATACATACAGTAGCAATAGTTATAATGCCATACATATGTACAAAAGAAAACTCACGAACCTCATTGTGCCTAGAACAACAATGATCAGTTTCTGTCAAACGAAAGACCTCCGAAACTAATATTTTAAACTGCAGCAGGTGCAGGTGCAAGTGCACCCCTACAACAGATTCCAAACTAAGATTTGAATTCCTCCACAGGATTAGAAACCCGAGATGCATAGTCTTTAAAACTCTTAATTCTACCTCGAGATTTCTTTTCTTTTCTTTGTAATTCTGCCTAAAACAAAAAATCTTGAGGCCGAATAATAAGTAGAAATGAATCTTAAAGAAGCAAATATAATTCAAGAAGCAACTACTTCTCCATTATGACAAAGTAGCTGTTTTCATTGCAAACAGATTAGTTGTTAAAAGCAAGAAAATTGAAGACATATTAACACCACACAAAGTTCCTTCAAAATTAATCAGAAAATTGAAGACATATTAACACCACACAAAGTTCCTTCAAAATTAATTAAAAATTCAGGCGAAGAACAGAACAGTGCAGACGATGATTCTGTAAAACCCTATTTGAGACATGAAAATGGAAAGAAGAAATGAAAATCAAAAACTCACCGGTGTTGTCGTAGGCCATAGGCAGCTTGTAAAATTGAAAATTTATGCGAAAGAGATATCAAAGCAAAACTCAAAATCGATTAAACACCAAGAATTCAAAGGCAATGAGCAGTTTCCCAAATATGTTCTTAGAATTCCAAAATATCGAATTCCGCCTCCTTTTATACTTCTGTTTTTTCGACCGCTTAGCCGTTACTCTTTGTAGCTCAATATTAAAAATTCATTTACAAGTAAAAATTAAATTCGCTGATATTTATTATAGTGTTACTAGGTTATCAGTTTACAAAATAACTCAATATTAAAAAAAATTAAAACTGAATAAATAACTCAATAGTTTCTAAGAAAAGATCATGAAAAAAAAAAGTCTGAAATATATCCGAACTTTAACCGAAATTGTTGTAACAATCTCAAACTTTGGACAGGGCCTATTACCCCTGCACTATTTAATATTTAAAGATATATAAGTGTCAAGTTAGACAAGTTACTATTTATAATGATGCAATATTTATGATATTCACGTGGGCACCTACATATCTTTAAAATACAGTATTAAATAGTACAGGATAATAGGTCTTGCTCAAAGATTGAGATTCTTACATCAATTTCGGTCAATGTTTAGAAAATAATTAAAAGCCCGTTCACACAATAACTCAATAGCAATCCTAGAATTTGGTGGAGCTCTTCATTCCCTAGACGCCTAGAATGAGATAACTAATTAGACAATTTACCAAACACCACAACCTTGCTTTTGGAGGAGTGAAAATTTGTGAGAAATGGAAGAAAAGAAGATGAAACGGAGAATATGGGAGGAAGGAATTGAGTGATGAGAATAGGAATCGTAAGGGATGTGATTTGGATGTGAAAGGGTGAGAAAATGGAGGGGTGCAGCGGTTTGTAACGGTTGGACTGGAGGAAATGGGGGATTACTTTGAATTTGGGGAGTTTTATTTAGAATGTGTCGCATGTCGGGTCATTAAAATTAAACAGAAATGTTCTACAAAACCCCGTCTACGGTCTGTAGTTATTCCTACGAGCCGTAGACGCCTTCCGTCGTTCTTCCCAACACTTAGCAAAATTTAGGAAACATACCTGGGGTTTATAAGTGCAGACTACAGACTGTCAAAGTTTGTACGGTTTGTACTGTGCACCCATAGACTTAAAGTTGCAGCTGTATTTGGACATTGAACTCTACAGATGTTATTTTTAGTTCATTGAATGAACGGCGACTCGTAAATGGGAACTGTAGAACCAGTCCTGGAAGACTTACCTTACACCAAGATTCTACGGATCAGACCTATGGTCTATAGGTTGCCCTACGACCCGTAGGTCCAAACCGTAGAACCTTCTGCACCTCAAAATTTCCCAGAGTTTTTATTTCTTTCCTGCACAAGTAGCAAACATTAGGACTTTCTTTTACATTTTCTTGACTCTTTTTGGACACAACCCCTAGAGTAACATAATCTAGCCAAAAATCAAACTTAAAAACATAATAATCACTAGAAAACTTTCAAACATAAAAATCACTAGAATACTGTTAAACTAGCTGATTACATCTTAGGTTGCCTCCCAAGTAGTTCTTGATTTGACGTCGCGTCACGACACAGACTCCTTGACTACTCAGGCTTCATTAAGATCCCATTCTTCTATTACCTCTTTTACCTTCTTTGATTGACTTAAAGTAAATTTTGATCGGTTGACCATTTACCTTGAATCTTGATTCTTTCTCATTCTCGAGTTCAACTGCTCTGTGTGAGAACACTTCGAAAACTCTGAATGGCTCTGTCCACTTAGAATTGAGCTTGCCAGGAAACAAGCACAACCTTGAATTGAATAGAAGTATCAAATCATTGGGAATAAATTCATGTTTTTTGATCTTTTGATCATGGTACTTCTTCATCTTTTCCTTATATAAGTTTTGACTTTCATATACTTTTAGGAGAAACTCATCAAGCTTATTCAACTCATTCAACATTTTACTTGATGCAACATGCCAATCAAGACTCAACTTTTTGAGTGCCTATATCGCTTTATTCTCTAACTCTACAGGCAAGCGACAACTTCCCAATCACAAGTTGGTAGGGAGACATACCTATGAGAGTCTTGAATGCAGTGTGATAGGACCATGGAGCACAATAAAGCTTTCTTGACCAATCAATTTTGTTCGCATTCACAATCTAAGGATTTGCTTAATTTCTCTATTTGATATTTCGACTTGCCCACTAGACTGCAGATGATAAGGAGTTGCTATGCTGTGACGAACACCATACTTCTGAATCAACACCTTGAATCATTTATTACAAAAGTGAGAACCTCCATCCCTGATAATTGTCCTTGGTGTACCAAATCTGGAGAAGATATTCTATTTTCAGGAATGTGGTGACACTCTTTCCTTCATTGTTTGAAAGTGCAATAGCTTCCACCCATTTAGATACATAGTCAACCGCTACAAGTGTGTACTTCATCCCATTCGAACTCACAAATAGAACCATGAAGTCAAGGCCCTAAACATCAAACAGTTCAATCACCATAATATGAGTCAATGTGAGTTTTTTTTCCCTTGAAATACCTCATTCTCTTTGACAATGATCACAAGACTTGGCGAAATCATGAGCATCTTAGAGTATAGTAAGCTAATAATACCCACACTACAAGATCTTATGAGCATTTCGAATATCACTATGATGGTCACCAATATGAGATGAATGGTAAGCTTTAAATATACTCATCATCTCAACCTCAGGAACACAATGCCGGAAAAACTTTTCACATCAGACATGAATTTCCTTCTTTAGTGGAATGACAAATCCAAAGGCACCACATGACTTGCCAAGTAATTAGCAAAATCAGCGAACAACGAGATAAGATCAAAAGAAGCAGCCAAAACCTATTCGTTTGGGAACGTATATCTATTTCAAATCCATCAATTAATTTCAGCATTGCCTCTTCCTCTAAACCAGACAAGTGATCAACAACTTGATTTTCCATTCCCTTTCTATATTTTACCTCAAAATTGAATTCTCACAACAATAGCACCCATCGAATCAGTCTTAGTTTTGCATCTTTCTTTGTCATAAGATAACTCAATGCCGAATAATGAATGTGCACAATGACTTTAGTGCCAAGAAAATAGGATTTAAACTTTTCAAACGCGAAGACTATAGTAAGCATTTTTTGTTCAGTGATAGTTTAATTCTTTTGAGCAACATTTAGGGCTTTGCTCGCACAATATAAGGGATGAAGAATCTTCTCTCGCCTTTACCCCAATACTCAACAAGTGTCACCCTACTCTCATCATATATCAATCAAACGGTTGTCCCCAATCTGCTGAAATAATAATTGGTGCAGAAGTCAACTTCTCTTTCAGCCCCTCAAATGCTTTTAGACAAGCATCATCAAAGTCAAATTTTGTTTCCTTTTCGAGCAAATTCCACTATGGGTGAGCCATTTTTGAGAAATATTTGATAAATCTCCTATAAAACCCAGCATAACCAAGAAAACTTCTAAAAACTTCATGGATATAGATGGTGGTAACTTTTCAATCACTTCGACATTTGCTCTAACAACCTCGATGCCTTTTGAGAAATATGATGGCTTAGAACTATGCCCTCTTTTACCATAAGGTGACACTTCTCCTAGTTTAACACTAGATTTCATTCTTAATAACATTGTAGAAAATCACCCAAGTGTACCAAGAAATCATTAGACAAGTCACAAACCACGAGAAGCCATCCATAAATAGCTCGATAGTGTCTTCCACTATATCAGAAAATATAGACATCATGCATTGTTGAAAAGTCGTCGATGCATTACACAACCCGAATGGCATCCTTTTGAAAGTAAACATCCCATAAGGACAAGTGAAAGTAGTATTCTCTTGGTCTTATAGAGCTATAGAGATCTGATTGTAGCCCGAATACCCATCAAGAAAACAGTACCAACCCTTTCCAGCTAGTCGATTTAACATTTGGTCCATGAACGGTCTTGGGAAGTGATATTTCTGTATCCATGGATTTAATTTATAGTAATCCATGCAGAACCTCCAATCACTGACAAACCTCATTGGGACAAGATCATTCCTTGTGTTGGGAACCACAATGATTCCTCCCTTCTTTGGCACACATTGAAACGAAAACACCCAATTACTATTGGCGATCGAATACACTACCCCAACATCTAACCAGTTGATAATCTCCTTCTTCAAAACTTCTTGCAGTGGTAGATTCAATCTTCT